TAAATAACCCGAATATTGTTTGAATTTAATGGGCTGTGAGAGCCCCGGGAGGCTCGTTATTTCATCCTCGTTGGCCCCCAACACTAAATATACATTGAGAATTATTGTCAATACAATTAAACCTAGATAATAAATTTTTAGTTAATATAGTAGAAGGTAATGAAAAACTAAAACTGATTCTTAGTGCCACAAATGATTTGTTTTAAATACAACATAAATTGATAATCAATAGAGTACAGCTGACCTATAAATAATTATTTCCAAATCTGAACATTGAAATGACTTCATGTGACTATAATATAAATTCAATAACAAGTAATCCAACAATTTGTAGACTAATAATCTAATCATGCATTTGTTGGTCTCTTCAGTGTCCCACAAGCTGTTTGATCTCTCATGAGTTGGTTATGCACTTGAATGACAAATACAGTGTAACAGTAACTGTAGAATTGGGTACACCATAGGATAGTCCTTAAAATACCTTGATAATACAGTACTAATTGGTTGTGAATTATTTCTAAAGGCTCGACAATAATTCTGTGTGTAATTCATATTTAAGAATTATTTCTAAATTAAAAATTTTATTTCTAACATTGGCTGAAATGAATTATGGATAAAATATTGTGATAAATAAACTATTAGAAATTTCTTAATTTATCGATTGAGTCACATTGATCTTAGGTATTAAATATTTCCAATGAATTTTATAGCTTTTTACACATAAATAGACCTCCCATCAGGCATGATAAGCTACTGCATCAAGAATGATTTTAAATATTATGAGTAACTTTGTAAAACTTATTATATTTTAATTTTATTCTTAATATTCATTGTATTTATTCTTAAAAATTAATAAACATTATGCTACAGTATAATATATGAACTTTGAACAATTATAGTAACGTTAGCTATTTTATTTTTATTATATCAAATTATTAATTTTATGCAAAAGTCAATTATTCATAAAATATTCATAGATTTAAGGTAAACGAGTAGTATTATAACTCATCAGGTTAAAATATNGTAGTATTATAACTCATCAGGTTAAAATATTACTGGATTTTAAAGAATTAATAAAAATAGCTAACGTTACTATAATTGTTCAAAGCTCATATCATCTATTAAAATAGAAACTATGAAAGTATGACTAAAATACTGCAACAGAATCTTAAGAAATATTTTATTGAATTTCTTTGATATAAATTAATTTATAATTTCGAGACACCAATCAAGTCTTTAAACATTTGAAGGGCAGCCTCTGGTTTATCGTGAGGGACCATATGTCCGGCCCCACGAATCAGCACAAAACTCAAGCCTTTCTCGTACTTCTCTACGAAACCACCGATCACTCCATCAGGCTTTCCGTCTACAGTCCACGGACTGTGTTATCAATATAACAATTAATATATAATTATTTTCCTATTAATAAAATATAATATACATACCTATAACGTCCAATTTTTTTGAATCCCAGTCCATCGACAAATCGTTGGTCACCAATAAAATTGCAAACCGTATCGAAGTCTCCGTTATACACAAGAAATCTCTCAATTTTATAGTCATTTATCAATTCAAGTGTTGTTTTATGCATTGGTTCGTAGTCTCCGGCATAAAATCCGCTGCAATCCGACCAATTGGGGGCGTCTGGATGTACGTGCAGTGCCTTACGTACGTCAGCGTTGTTTAAATAGTCAGTATATCAAGTGTTGTTTTATGCATTGGTTCGTAGTCTCCGGCATAAAATCCGCTGCAATCCGACCAATTGGGGGCGTCTGGATGTACGTGCAGTGCCTTACGTACGTCAGCGTTGTTTAAATAGTCAGTATAGCCATTGTGGGGACAGTCAAGACTAGCTGACCTCGTTTGCTTATTAAGTTTAACTTTAAATGCATAATTATTAAAGGATTTGACATAATGCTCATTATATAACTTCTTGTATCCTTCACTGGCATCGCAGTCATCGTAAATGTTATATGGGTTGGGAGTGGACCCCCATTCCACCTGAACTGAACTGCATTTACTATAGTATATCAGATTAAATATAAATTTATAAAATTTATTAATATAATGCAAATTAATAGTTACGTCTCATTGGCTGGATTTGTGAGATCGCATTCATCATTGTGAACTGGGCGAAATGTGAGTGTTGTCAAAAGTTAGTTAAAGAGCATCCTTAGCCAACATTAGTTAGGCACCGGGTTTATTTTCAGATACAAACTGACTAGTAGATCACAAGGGCATTCCTGTCCATTTCCAATGGCCACACCTTGTAAACAAAAAATGTAACAATACTATAAATTGCATTTAAAATGTTCAAATTATTATTAACCCTTTAAATTGATTGTGGACTTTGCTTTGTATATATTCCTGGCTAACAATGGTATATGAATTCCGGCATAACTTTCTCCCGTTATATAAAATGGGTTTTTCTTAAAATTTGGATATTTTACAAAGAACATCTCCAGGAATGCCAAGTTATCGGCAGCCGTTTCCGTGTCTGTATTTTTATGGCTTTTATCGTCTGTATAACTAAAGCCAGTTTTGACCGGTGTTTCCAAATATATGACATTTGCCAC